TTTTTTTTTTTTCTTACAGAATAACTGAACATGTTTCCCTGGAACTTGCATCCCTCTGGAGTAATGTTTGCTGAGTCTGGAGCTTATCCACAGAAGAACCTTTCTCAAGCTTTCTTGAAGTATCAAAATCTTGGGCATTGTCTACCTAGACCTTCAACTGTCCCAGCTCTTTCACAAATATGTTCTCTTTCTGCACACACTAGATTGTATATTTTTATCCTAAAATTTGGTGTCCAGAATACAATATTGTGTCTGGGAAGAACATAGACCACAAAACTGCCTTTGCTTCTGGCTTCTTTCATTGAAACCTAAGTTTCCTTCCTCTCCTACTCTTTCTCCCCACTTCACACATTCTTCCTTCCTTGCGTCCTCTTCTTCCTTTTTCAGCTCCACTTCTTTTTTATCGTTGCCTTTATTATACATTTATTTTCAGTTTTATTAGCTTCCATACCTACTCTTTTTTTTCTTATTCTTATTATTTTTTTTACTGTGAATTGACTGGTTTACAGAGCAGATCATCAATTTTATATTCAATAAATCTTGTACTTCATTTTATTTCAATGACTGCAATCCCATCAGCCAGTGTAACATGACTTATCTCACTTCCTTCCTGTGTTTCTTGCTCCCATTCCTCCTTCTTTGCCAGCCCTTTTGAATTTTGTCCTTAGGTAAAAGCTGCCCTTTCAATCTTGAATGGTTGCCCATTCCATGGTGTGTATACCTCACTAATGATACTGCTTGACTTAAAATAGAGCTATGAGGGTGAGTTCAGTCCAAGTCCTGAAGGATGACTGAGGACCATACTCTTGGGTTCCTCTGGTCTCTTTCTGATAGTTAAGCCTGGTATTTCTTGTATGTTTTTAATTTTGTTTGACATTTTATTGCTCTCAATCTGGGACCTTCTAACCTGATTCCTTTCTAAACAATTGGTAGTGTTATTGTTGTGTGCCCTCAAATCTGTTCTGACTCATAGCAACCTTACATAGGGATTCCGAGGAGAGACTGCTAGGTTTAAACTGCCGACCTTGAAGCTCGAAGTCCAATGTATATCCCACAATGCCACATCAGGACTCCACTGCTGGTGTAGCTCAGTACCATCTACTTCTTCTGGTCCCAGAGTCATGGGGACTGACTTTTAAATGTTCCATTCATCCATTGGACTAACTGATACCAAGTGCCTTCAAGTTTCATCATTCTTCTTTCCTCCGCACAAAGACCAATAATTGCACCTTAGATGGCTACTCATGAGCTTTTAAGATCCCAGTCACTACTCCCAAAAATAGGATGTAGAATATTGTCTTTGGGGACTATGTGGTGCCAACTGACCACTGTGTTCCCCAAAACTATGGTTCTGAGTGCCTAGACCCAGCAACAAAGTGTTTAGTCATATCTAAGAAGTTGTCATAATTTTGCCCTTTGTATTCTTACATATGTTTGCAACAAAAGAAAAAACCCATGAGCAAATATCCTCTGTTAAACCTTATATATTTGTTTGGTGCATTCCCATTCTCCCTCCCATACTTATTCAACCTGTATATCTATGCATGTATATACTCTTATATCACCGTTATTGCAGGAGTGTATATATGACAGTCTTTACCTCTATTCCCTTTAACTCCTACATACCTCCCCGTGTCTTCCTGCCTTCATTGTTCTTCTGCCAATCTGCCTCTTGTTGTATATTGCCTTCCCTGTCTTTCAAGTTAACATGTATCTACCCTCTAGCCAGTGAATTACTCTCCCTTCTTTCCCAACCCTGGGTATCAACAAAGAATGCTTCATTTACTGTGTAAGTTATTTCTTGACTTTTTATAATATTGGTCTCATAAAGTGTCTGTCCTTGTGTGATTGACTAATTTCACCCAGCATAATGTTCTCCATTAAGAAGAAAAGAAAGAAGGAAAAGGTCAAAATGGATGTCAGAAGAGACACTGAAACTTGCTGTCCAGCATACAGATGCTAAAGCAACTGGAAGAAATGAGAAGGTAGAAGAGCTGAATAGAAAAATTCAAAGATCAGCTCGAGAAGATAAAGCCAAATATTACAACAAAATGTGCAAAGATCTGGAGTCAGAAAACCAAAAAGGAAGAACATGTTCAGCATTTATCAAGCTAGGGGATTTGAAGAAAAAATTCAAGCTTCAACTTTTGTTACTGAAGGATTCTCTGGGCAAATTATTGAATGATGCAGAAAGCATCAAAAGAAGATTGAAGGAGTACTCAGAGTCACTATACCAAAAATAAATGGTTGAGAAGGAATTGGCAAAGAACAAGGCACCAGGAATTGATGGAATGAAAATTGAAATCTTTCAAGAAAGTGAGGCAGCACAAGAGGCACTCACTCATCTCTGCCAAGAAATTTGGAAGACAGCTATCTGGCCAACTGATTGGGAGAGATCCATATTTGTGCCCATTCTAAAGAGAGGTGACCCAATGGAATGCAGAAATCATTGGCAATATCTTTGATATCCTATGCAAGTAAAGTTTTACTAAAGATAATACAGAAACGGCTGCGAACATACATTGACAGAGAACTTCCAGAGGTTCAAGCAGGATTCAGAAGAGGCTGTGGAATGAGGGATATCATTGCTGATATCCAGTGGATCTTGGCTGAAAGCAGAGAATATCAGAAAGATGTTTGCCTGTGCTTTATTGACTATGCAAAGGCTTCGGATTGTGTGGATCATGACAAGCTATGGACAATACTGCCAAGTATGAGTATTCCAGAATATTTAATTGTGCTCATGAGGAATCTGTGAATGGACCAAGAGACAGTTGTTCAAACAGAACATGAGAACACTGAGTGGTTTAAAATTAAGAACCATTTGCGACAGGGTTGTATTCTTTCACCATACTTATTCAATTTGTATGCTGAGCACATAATCCAAGAAGTTGGATAATATAAAGAAGAACAGAGCAGCAAGATTAGAGGAAGACTCATCAACAACCTGAGATGTGTAGATGATACAACCTTACTTGCTGGAAGCAAAGAGGACTTAAAATACTTACTGAAGATCAAAGACTACAGCGTTCAGTATGGATTGCCTCTCCATGTAAAATAAAAATGTAAAAAAAAAATTTTTTTAACTCCTCACAGCTAGGCCAATAAATAACATCATGATAAATGGAGAAATGATTGAAGATGTTAAAGACTTCATTTTGTTTGGATCCACAATCGACACTCATGGAGGCAGCAGTGAAAATATGAAATGATGAATTGCATTAGGCAAATCTGATGCACAAGACCTCTTTACAATGCTCAAGAGCAAAGACGTCAGTTGAGGACTGAGGCGTGCCTTACCTAAGACATGGTATTTTCAATAACCTCATATGCATGTGAATGTTGGCCAGTGACTAAAGAAGATCATAGAAGAAATGATGTATCTGAGGTATGGTATTGGAGAAGAATATTGGAAGTACAATGAACTGCCAGAACAAAAAAAAAATTCTGTTGGAGAAGCACAGACAAAATGCTCCACAGAAGCCAGGACGTCGAGACTTCATCTCTCATACTTCGAACACAGTATCATGAGGGACTAGTCACTGGAGAAGGACATTATGTTTGGTAAAGAGTATCAATGAAAAGAGAAAGATCACTCTTTCTTCAGCTGCCGCTAAGATGCTCAGTCCTTCCGAGGAAGCTAAGGCCACGTTGGGGTGAGGCCTTCACTTCATCCGGCGACTAGCACCACACCAGGTAGCTGCCAATCTAGCACTCCCGCACCATGGCCTCCGTCTCTAAGCTCACTTGCATCTACTTGGCTCTCATTCTGCACCACGATAAGGTGACCATCACGGAGGACAAGATCAACGCCCTCATCAAGGCGACAGGCATCAATGTTGAGCCTTTCTGGCCTGGCTTGTTCACAAAGGCCCTGGGCAACATCAACATCGGAAGCCTCATCTGCAATGTCCAGGCTGGTGGACCTGCACCAGCAGCCGGTGCTACACCAACAGGCAGACCTGCCCCCTCCACCGCTGCTGCCCCAGCCGAGGAGAAGAAAGTGGAAGCAAAGAAAGAAGAATCTGAAGAGTCCGATGGTGACATAGGGTTTGGTCTTTTTGACTGAATCCCTTTGCAACGTGTTCAATAAAAAGTTGAACTCTTAAAAAAAAGAAAGAAACAAAGAGGAAGACCCGTCAGGAGATGGACTGGCACAGTGGCAGCAGCAATGGACTTAAGTGTACTTACTGGCTGTGAGGAAGGCACAGGACGCGACAGTGTCTCATTCTGTAATATACAGGGCTGCTGTGAGTCGGAATCAATTGGACAGCACCTAACAACAACAACCACAAAGGGGCTGGCAGAAGGAGGAGGAGGGACTTATTGATAAAAGGACATTTAGCTTCGATCAAGGGTGATGGAGCTTCTATTAAGGAGTCCTGGGGTGGAGCTGTGAGTTAATACGCTAGACTGCAAAGTCAGCTTGAACTGCAAGGTCTGCGGTTCAAGCCCACCAGCCACAACTTGGAAACCCTATATAGAGTCACTATTGGTCAAAACCAGCTCGATGGCACTTAACAACAACAGAGTGATGGAAAACTTTGTAAAAATAGTAATCGTTGAAAGCATGCTAAACATAATTAATGTCATTGAATTGCACATGGGAAGAATGTTGAAATTGCAAATGTTTCATCACATACGTACAAATATTTACCACCATGAAAAAGTGCTATGACTTTGAATACATTTCTTAACCTTTGTAAGAAATCTATGAAGTAGGTATAATAAGTTTTATGCCAACATAATCTAAAAAAAATAACATATATAAAGCCCACCTCACAACATCCCAATAAATGTAGTGAGTGTTTTAATTAAGTGTAAGCTAGTATTGTTCTTCAAAATAATATCTTTTTCAAAACAATGAAGGCAGAGTCAGCTCTCTCCCATTTGTACTTATGCAAGACTTAACATTAATCACTACTGAATTTCTCCTTGTTGTTTTTGGCCCTGAACACCAGCCTGTTGAAGTCTGTTTGAGCCCTGATTCTGTCACCTAATGTATGAACCATTTTACTTAGCTTTGCAGCTTCCATATCTTCAACCAAGTCACAGATAAAAGCACTGGACATAGCTCCCTAATCTTATAGAATTCCATGAATGTTTATTTCCACTTTTAAAAAATAGTAAGTTGACCATCATGCCAAGTAAGCAGCCAAGTAATCAGACTTGGAATCTGTGAATATAATTGAATGTTATAATAAAAATATGAAATAACACCAATCACCGTCAAATGTCAGGAGGCAGGAAGGGTTGTGGGGTGAGGAGAGATTAGCCTAGAAGGAATCAGGTCAGGCAGGATGGGCTCTGTATGCTTGGATTATATGTTGGTGGTAAACCTCTTGAGAAAAGCAGTATTTTAGCAGCCACTCCCCTTTTCATACATCTCCTTACACTGTCTTAAAATAATTATTTAAATATCATGTTGTTATTACTTTCTATGGAGTCCTGGTGTGGCACTGTGGGTTAATGAGCTGGACTGCAAAGTCTCTTTGAACCACAAGGTCAAGCTCAGCAGCTGCTCCTTAAAAATCCTATACAGGGTTGCTATGGGTCGAAACCGACTCGATGGCACTTAACAACAATAACATTACTTTATATGATAAGTTGTTGTCAGAAGTCCACCTACAAATTTTCCCCACATCTGAATCAACCAACATCATTTAACTGTGATCCTGCCGGGGGCCAGTCAGATTATAGATTAGAAAAGACAGAGCCCAACCCCTCAAGAATTTTTGTCCTATATAAAGTACCTGGAGTCCTGGTCTACTGCTGTAGGATAAGCTAACCAAAAGTTCTTCAGTTCAAATCCACCAGCTGCTCCACAGAAACCCTATATAGGACTGACATGTTGCTGTTGTTAAGTGCCGTCGAGTCGGTTTTGACCCATAGCGACCCTGAACAGGGTTTCCGAGGCTGTAAATCTTTATGGGAGCAGATCGCCTCATCTTTCTCCCACGGAGCAGCTGGTAGTTTCGAACTGCTGATCTTGCGGGTCTCAGCCCGATTCGTAACCACTACGCTACCAGAGCTCCTTACATAGCAGTACTTAACAACGTACAGTTGTTTTTAAGTGCCATTGAGTCAGTTCCGACCCATAGTGACTCTATATAGGGTTTCCAAGGAGCAACTGGTGAGCATGAACCACCAACCTTGCAGTTCAAACCGACTTTGCAGTCTAGCGCATGAACCCACAGTGCCACACCAGAACAACAGTGCCATTGTTGTTGTTGTTAAGTACCGTCAAGTCGGTTCCAACCCATAGCGACCCTGTACAAGGTTTCCGAGGCTGTAAATCTTTACGGGAGCAGAAAGCCTTATCTTTCTCCTGCGGAGTGGCTGGTAGTTTCAAACTGCCAACTTTAAGGTTCACAGCCTGATTTGTAACCACTACACTGCCAGAGGTCCTTAACAGTATGGTAGCTACTCTATATTTAAAGTGAGTACTGAAAGCCAGTGATTTTCCTACATTCTACCTAACTCTTTCAAAAATTCTAGAGGGGACTATTACCAGTTGGCACTGAGCGGACCTGGCTCATAGTGACCCCATGTGTGTGAGAGCACAACTGGGCTCCATAGGGTTTTCAGTGGCTGATTTTTCCAAAGTTGATTGCCAGGCCTTTCTTCAAAGGAACCTCTGGGTGAATCCAACCTCCAGCCTTCAGTTAGCAAGCAAGCATGTCTTTGTGCCACCCCAGTCCACCTGCAATGGATATTAAACATTGTCGTCAAGTCGGTTCTGACTCCCGGTGATCCACGTGTTGACATCATGGCTTATCATCTCCATGTTACAGGATAACTGTAGCTCAAAGAGTCCTGGGGTGGGGCCATAGGATAAGCACTCGACCTCAAGTTCAGTTTGAACCACAAGGTCGGCCGTCACTATGACTTGGAACCAACTTGACAGCACTTAACAATAACAACAACCGCAAAAACCACATATCCAGGGTATGGGGAAACCAGGAGAGAGCCTCTTTCTGCGTTGTCCCTGACAGAGCCTGTGTTTTACTCATGGATGTCTGCATGCATCCTCACTGATTCTCCAATGCAATTCATGACGAGGAATCTAGTCAAACCCAGCAGCACAGCTATCATCACTCACAGTAAGCATTTTGTATCTTGGATCAAGTACATCTGCTGCTGAGATTCGTTTGACCACAACATTCTTTTGATATCTCAAGGAAGTCTTTCCATTTTTCCCCTTCTATATATTGCAAGCAGAGCTACATTTCCGTTTTCATTTGTATTTTATCTAAGTTATTTCTTGAGGAACAGCCTAACTCATATTCCTGATGCACGTTTATAGACTTGGAGTCTTTGGTTAATTGTCTCACACAAACTTACACTAAGCAGGACTTCAAAAGGATTCAGCTCGTTCAGTCATGGCACACAAAGTCACATTCAAATCAGAAGTATCACTAAGGGACAGCAGGGGTGTGTTCTGTTCCAGATGACATTGTCAGATGAGGTGACACCAATATGACTGTCTATAAAATTTTTGTACCATGTTTCAGCAGAAAATTTTTAAAGAAAAAAAAAAAATCCTCATAGTTATAACAACAAAAACTTTTTGAGAGCCCAGCTTACTCTGACTCATGGTGAGCCCATGTGTGTGAGAGTAGAACAGGGCTCTGTAGGGTTTTCAGTAGCTGATTTTTCCAAAATTGATTGCCAGGTCTTTCTTCTGAGGTACCTCTGGGTGAATCCAACCTCCTACATTTAGGTTAGCAAGTAAGCTCAAACTCTATGCCAATTTACTTTAGAAATTTCTAAAGCCCTCTGTTCAGAGCTGCCATTACCAGCCTATTACAAGAATGCTTCATATCACATGATTTCATCCACGTGAATTACAAGCATGTGCTGTCGCTTCTCTTGTTGTCTGTGTTTTTTTCTTTGTTTCTTTTCAGGCTTTCACTTTTGTATTTCCATGTCCCAAGAAGCATTCTAGGGATTAGTACTGAGAATCAACATTTCTGAGTTGGAAGGAACCTTAAAATCCTTTAGGTTTTCTTTCCTATTACTTCCAGGGCCAACGGAACTTTACAAAGTACCAGTAATGGGGAGCTGTTGCCCGTGTTTATAATCATTGCTTATTTTGTCAAATTTTATAACGTTTTAGCTACAATATTGGGGTAAGTAATATTTGTGAACTTACATCAAGAACTTTTTTGAGAATGAAGTGCAATTAAAGGAAAAGAAAGAGAAAAAATTGTAAAGGTTTATATTCAGTTACTAATAATGTTGTAACTAATAATGTTGAATGCTTTTACATTTTACAAAAGATTTTACAAAAGAAATTTGTTGTTAGCATTCATAGAACTTAATAAGTCTTGTTATTGTCCAAGTGCCATGGAGTCAGTTCAAACTCATATCGAGACCCTGTATAGAAAGAGTTTCTATCATTTAAGCAATTTATAACTATATTTATCACATATTATTCTATAATTAAAATTGACAAAACATTGCTAAGGATTCTGTATGGTCTCATATGGGAGGAGGGGTGACACCATGAGTTACCACAATGGGTGACCCTTACCCAAGTGACCCCACAGACTAAAACAATCCTGAATTTTTAAAAACCTGGGTGAAGTGCCATGTTAACCAGAAATGACAGATCAAAGCCCTATTGGAACTTGATCTCCCTCTTAGAAAACAAGGGAAGTGGGCATGTTGCATAGCAACCACACCTCTTGACCGACTGAGTGAAAAACATCGGTGACCTGCTCAAAGATGGCTGAGTGTGTGTTCCTGTCCACAGTTCTGGCCACAATCAAATCTTCCATATCAGCCTCCTGAAAGGGTTAACTATACCATCTCTTCTAAGTCTCCCATTCAAAGGCGCTGACCTGCAAATTTTCCCATTCAAGTTACCGTTTGGATCATTCAACGTTTATTTTACAAAATTCAGGTCTGTTTCAGTTTCACTTTGTCACCGTAGCTGAACAGGTTCAAATTGGTTGAAAGCCCTGCTATGAAGGCGCTGCTAAATTCCAGGAGTCCTTGCTGGGTGTCCTGAAAGGATGAGGATGCATACAGTCCACAAGTGGCTTATAAATAAGACTGAAGGGA